TTTATAATTTTAAGCATTGGTTCTTATACATTTAATTTCTTAAATAATAATAATAATATTATTATTATTTTATTCAAAATTATAAAAAGCATAAAAATGAAAATATCTTTATAATTGTATTTATTACCAATTTAAAATATATTTTCAATATATTTTCGACTAAATTAAAAATATGTTTGGCTTATAACATCAATTTAGACCGAATTTAATATTAAGATAAACAATAACAATAAAAGTAAATGCATATTTTAAATGAAGATTAATTAATTAAATTGATTAAACTAATCCAAGTAGGTGAAGTGACGTCCTGTCTGCGTTTTGCATTTATGGATATAATTAGACCGAAGTGTGTAGATCGTTATTGTAATAGAGTCAACAATGCGAACTAGTGTCGTGCTATACAAGGCATTTAAACAAACAAGCACAATTAATAATTGCATTAATATAATTTAATAATTGCATTAATATAATTTAATAATAAGTTAATATAAGTTAATAATAAGCTAATATAATTTAATAAAAAATCTATAACCCTCGTCGAGCGTAGATGAGTACGATTAACGATGAGTATCATTAAATTAATTTATAAAATATCAAATTATAAAGTATTAAACCTATAATTATAAATTAATTAAAAATCTAAATGTAATTTAATTAAAATATAATATTTAACATTAGTTTTTATGGTAAACTATATCATTGACCACCTAACTATTTACTCCTTTTACTTTAACCATCAATTTTTCAATTTTATCAATCGGGTCACCTAACTATTTAAATCTTGTCAATCAAGTCACCCGTCGTTAAATATTAACGGAGGAGATGGTGTGGAAGTTAATAAAATTTATATAACTACACATTTAGTCGTCATTACTTATATATTCTATTAATTTGGTCTTAACTTTTAATTAATTCAATAAATTTAATCATCAATCAGATGGTGACATGTGTCACTATGTGATTGAATTTTTTTCTTAATATTTTTATTTAACTTAATAAATTTTTCATCTAATCAAATGGTGCCACGTGTCACCAATTGAATGAATAGAAAATAAATTGGATTAATAGCAGCTACTAATGGGGTTTGATCCTAAAACGTGAGAAAATAAAGCAAACACCCCAACCAATGGACTACACCACTCAAATGAAAAACTTATCACGACATAATATATAGTTTATGGCAATAAAAAAAGGGAAAATGACCTAATAATAATTCCAACATGAAATAATTGAATAATACAATAAGATATATATACACAAATATTATAATCGATTAATATATGAATGTATTTTATTTATATTGTAAATCATTTTAATGTATTATAGTTGAAATATAACGAAGAGCTTCGTTGACTTAGAATTTTTCTGATAGTTGAGGGCTTATCGTATTAAGCATTTTAACTTATGCATTGGCTTATTTATATCGCGATTAGAGTAAGAATTTTATATTTTATTATTTATTCATTGTATATTTGAAGAAAATTTTAGGAGAAACTTGATTTTATTGAATTAGTCTATTTTAATACATACTTGCTAAATAAGATTATAATCCGATCGACATTATAATATTTTAAAATATAAGATATAGTACATTTCAGTTCAATAAAATTATAATAATGAAGACAATTTATTAATTTAAATTATGTAAAATGATAAATTTCAATTATAACACATTAAATTCACTTTTATTTTAATTTTTACATTAAATGTGATTTAAAATATAAATAAAACATATTCATTTATTAATCAATTATAATATTTGTTTATATATATATATATATTTAATACTATTCATTTATTTCATGTTTAAGTCCTTATAAGATTATTTATTACCATGAACTATATTATAAATTATATACATTATGTTTTGTATATTAGATAAATTTAGTGGTCCATCTTAGTGGTTAAAGCATTTAGTTTTGGCTTGCTCCTAGGTTCAAACCTCACTAGCAGCGATTAAATAAAAGTTAGGACCAAATTAATAGAATATGTAAGTAATGAGGATTAAATGTGTAATTATAAAAAATTATTATATATCATGTCATCTCTTCCATTAATATTTATCGACAAATGGCTTAATTGACAAGATTTAAATAGTTAGGTGACCGATTGAGAAAATTGAAAAATTGATGGTTAAAGTAAAAAGGGTAAATAGTTAGGTAGTCAATGATATAATTTACTCTAATAACTAATGTTTTTATAAATATTGTATTTTAATTAAATTATATTTAGATTTTTAACTAATTTATAACTATACGTTTAGTACTTTATAATTTAACGTTTTATAAATTAATTTAATGGTGCTCATCATTAACGGTGCTCATATGTGCTAGTCGAGCGTGGCATCATCATCCAATTTAATGTTTATTACTTAGTTAAAGAGTGAAAATGAAGGAAAGTAAATTGTTTAAAAAATTGGGCACAATATATAAATGGTCCACGACTATAGGATACTCTTTATTGAGTCTCCTGACTATTAAAAGTTATAAAATGGTCCATCGACTACAAGACATTGCTTTGTTGAGTCACTCGACTATTAAAAGTTACAAAATGATCATCTGACTATTTTATTATGCTTCAAAGTCATCATTTTTCATTAAAAAAATTAATGATTGTCTAAGTTGAACGTTAACATACTGATTGAGATATGATAGTCGTTTGAGATAATTAGATCATATTTTATCATATCGTAGTCACCAGGTTAACATATAATTTAGACAGTCGTCAAATTTTAACGAAAAAAACGAGTTTGGAACATAATGAATAGTCGGGTGATAATTTTGTAACTTTTAATTGTGAATAGACTCAACAAAACAATATCATATAGTCAGGAGATCATTTTGTAATTTTTAATAGTCGAGACTCAATAAAATAGTATCCTATAGTTGAGGGACCATTGTGTACTTTACCCTAAAAAATTCAAACACAACATTAATAAATAACGCATAATTTATAAAATGATTTAAAAAATAAAATTATTTAAATAAATTAATTTATTATAAAATAATATAAACTATCACATAAAAAATATTATTATGTCAGCAATAAAATAGATGTAAATTATCATGTTAATATTATGAAAAATTAACAATTTAATTAATATTCCGTTAAAATATATAAACTTCATAGCAAATAGATTAAAATTTAATTTAATTAAAAATAAAATAAAAATATAAAATTTAGAAGTTAAATTTATTATTATTATTATTATTATTATATAAGTAAACTCTTATATCATCAATCCAAAGTCCAACCATATTGTAACATGTTTTACTCTTCAAAATAATTGTCTAAATGTATGAACTAAACTGATTCAGTAATTAAGGAACAATTATTATTATGGTAAAGTATAGTAATGGTCACTAAACTTTTATAATGATTTTGTTTAAGTCCCCCAACTTTTAAAACTTGCAATACAGTCCTTCAACATTTAGTCCATTTGCAATATGGTCCCCCACCAGTTACGTCAGAGATCATATTGCAAACGAACTAAATGTTGAGGGACCATATTGCAAACATGCTAAATGTTGAGGGACCATATTTGCAAACAGACTAAATGTTGGGGGATTATATTGCAAGTTTTAAAAAGTTTGGGGACCTAACTGAAAGATTTAGAAAAGTTCATTGACCATTAATATCCTTTACCCATAATTAAATTCAAGGAAAAAGCTTGACACGCATGTATCGAACTTAAAGAAAAAGTATTGGAATATTAAAAATACATGGGATTCGAACAAAAGATTATCTATAAAATTATATATATTTTTTAATAATTTAAGATAATTATAAAATAATAATTATTTGTATTTGTTTAAACATTAATAATTAATCATTTAAATTAATTATTTTTAAAGAAAATAACACTTGCTTTGATCATTGAGGTTATTTCATTGGTTCAATTTGTATAAATTGTATGCATTTTTAAATTGAGAATACAAACTAATGTGTACATGTACTATGTTTTTGTGAAATTTTTAATTATAATTATATTGAAAATATTATTTGGTTTTATTCAATTTAATAATTATATTTTAAATAAAGAATAATTTAAGTATTATTTGATAAATTAAAAAATAAAAAATAAATACTAAATTTTTAATGGGTTGAATTTCTCAAGGTTTCATGAATAAATTCTTAATTTTAATAATTTTTAAGTTGAAATAACATTAGATTAATCTATTATCAAGTTCAATAAAAAATTATTAATTGATAGATTAAGTGTTTCAATAAAGTATAATCTTTTTGGGTCGTTCACATAAAAGTCAATCTTTAAAAATAATTAATTAAAAATCAATATTTCTAAATTTATTTAAATAAGAGTTCAATCTTTTAAAATAATGAAAGAAAGATGTAATATTTTCAAATATATTCAAATAAAGAGTAATTAAATTTTGGAGATAAATAATTAAAGTAATAAAAATAGCATTCATATGATAACAAATAAGTATTAATCTATATAAAAAATAATATAATATCATCGAATCTATATATTCATGTATTATAAATAATCAGTGTAGATAAACTAGTAATCTAAAATAAACCATCGAAATTAATAAAATAACTTATGGTTGACATGCAAATGAAAGCTTTAAATGGTGAAATTAATAAAATTACCTAAAAAATAAGGGTAAAGTATAGTAATGGTCACTAAACTTTTCTAAAACTTTCATTTAGGTCCCCAAACTTTTAAAACTTGCAATACAAGCCCCCCAACATTTAGTCCGTTTGCAATATGGTCTCCCAACAGTTACGCCAGGGACCATATTGCAACCAGACTAAATGTTGAGGGACCATATTGCAAACGGACTAAATGTTGGGGGATTATATTGCAAGTTTTAAAAGTTGGGGGACCTAAATGAAAGATTTAGAAAAGTTCAGTGACCATTACTATACTTTACCCTTATTATTACATGAATTGTCCAAATATTTTAACGATAAAACTTAAAGCAAATTACATACTAACCCAAAAAAAAAATAATAAATAAAACAATGTTGTAGAATGAGCAACAGACTAGTCGGACGAGTTTTCAGCTTTCCTTCCTTTGAGTCCAAGATTTGACTTTAAAAAAGGATTCAAATCTACACTGATCTCTCCTGCAAATCTCACTCATTGTTCCCAACGAAACTATTGCCTTTTCTTATATATATATTTTTCTAATAAATTCCCTCTCTGTTTCCAACAATGGAACAGTCAGCATCAAACCTCAAACTCTTTCACTTCTAGTGGTTTCACTTGGTCACTCCAACTAAAGCCCTTCAATTTCATATCATGCTCGTGTAAATCGAAAATGGGTTGTCTTGTTATTGCTTCAGTTTGTTTCTGCTGATTGGAATGAGCTTGAGAAGTTGATTTTCTTTTCTGTCTTACGTTTGTTTTCGTAGAACAAATATATAATTAGAAAAATGATATCGGGAGGGATGAATTTGGTGATGACAATTATAGGTTTCACAGCGAGTATTATGTTCATAGTTTTTATTTGTACACGTCTGATTTGTGCTCGGATTCAGCTCAGAGCTTCTCGGAGATCCCTCGCAGTTTCTTCAAGATCTGATCTTAGTGTGGTGAGTTTTTTCCCCTTTTTAAGGAAGGTTTTTGTGGGGGGTCTTAATTCTTAAAATTTCCAAACCTGGGTTGTGTTCTGTTTTTCTTTAATATATATGTATAATATTTCTGCTCAATTTCAATTTTTTTCCATAATAATAGTTTTTTAACATTTGGAATCCGATTGTCTGTGGTTATTCAACATTAGCAATGAAAGGATGAGTTTTGAGGGTACTGGAGATTAGATTGAAGGGTTTTTTCCCCTAATGTTTAGGAATTTTGAATTTTTCCCCTTTTGTGCATTTCTTATGAGGAAGTTTGAATTTCTGTATGAATTATAGTTGATCTTTTTAACTTCTGCATTTCAACTTCTAAAATGGTTTCCACAGAAATTTTGTTTATTGTTTTTTTGTGCGGTTCAGAAGTTTTTCTTAAATTTCTTAGAAGTGATGTAATGATTTTGGAGGATTTTTGGCTTTTAGGGTTCAATGCCTTTGTTGATATGTGAACTAATAGGTAGATGAGAAAAGGAAAAAGAAAAAGGAGAAAATGTTTGTCATTTTAGGTAGATAAGTGGCATCAGTACACTATGTTATTCAGACTTGGGTGAGAGTCTCGGATCGGTATGTGTCCCACAGATATGTTCAATATTCCCAAAATTAACATGTGTTTAGAGTGTTCTTGGAAAATATGTGTTGGACATAGATATTCCTAGAAAAAAGTTGAAGAATTTGAGCAACATAGTCAGACATTTTGCTGAAACCAACCAGACAAAATTGAAAATCAGAAAGTAATAGAAGTAAACCCGACTCATTTTCATGTTTATTCACTTTTCAGTTGTCTCATTCTTTCTTTATGGAGTGATCCTCATTCATTATTGATATTGAATTTCGTATATGCAGCTCGAACGGGGTACACACGGTCTTGAGCCTGTTGTTGTTGCAAATTTCCCGACGAAGAATTTCTGTGAGGAGTGCTTCTCAGCTAACAAAGATGCTCAGTACGTGCTCGGAACCTTGCTTTGTTTAGGAAATTACTGCACGTTTCTTTACTATATAATTTTTACATTATATCATGAAGATAATTTTTCTTCTTTTTTTTTCCCATGAAAAAGTGCTAGATGCCTAGGATTTGCAGGTTAGTTATTACTTTTTGGTGTATTCATTTTTCTTTTCATAGTGAAGATGTTGGTATTAAACATTATCATTCCTTTGGATTTTCGAGCTTAAAATAGTATTGAGATGAATGCCTAATAAAGTGGTTTGGCAAATTGAAAGGTTTTACTTTAAGGTCATGAAGCATCATCAAGTCACAAATGTGATAGACAATGGACGGTTGTTCAGATATTGATGCTATTTCTGTTAGGGCAAATTAAGCATTTCTTCTTGTGTTTGTCCGTAAATGTCTTTATATGGGAATTAGTCAGTTGTTTTGGCTTTAATAGTTTTCCCCCCACTAAGTTGGACCATTTATTCTGCAAATAATAGAGTAAAATAACAATGAGGGAAGAGGCGGAGCTTATGTTGCTCTGACTCTTCATTTTTCCTTGGAGTGCCCATGTTCAACAGCTTTTTCCAACATATTCAGATATGGGTGTGATCGGAAGATGACCCTCTATATATATCCTCCCAATACATGGAAAACTTAGAAAAATTTTAAACATACCTGTGTCAGAAACATACATTCGATAATCATACCGGCGTGCAAGTAGCATAGGACAGCAACCAATGAGATATAAAGAATAGAAGGCAAAGCTTAAGTGGAGAGGATGAATAGATGAGACAATTGAAATCTTTGGTAGATTCCACCTTGATTGTATGTATACGAAATCACAAATAGTATGAATATCGGGGAAATTATCAATGTTTACCACATGGATGCTATAGTGATGACATGTTATGGTGAAACTCATTGTGCGATGAAGAAAATGGATGTAATTTCGAATGGCCTGATGTTGACCTATGAAGCTTAAACTCGGTGCTTGTCTTTTTTCTTCCCTCTAGTTGTGTCTTTTTAATATTTACTGGTCTAATTGTACATTTTACCAAGAAGCTTATTGATGCTGCTAGGTGTCTTAGCATCAATAGAACTTATTTCTTTTAACCATTGCTTAACTTTTTCCCTCCAAAAGTCATTATTGGTTCTAATGTGGACTTACGGCAGCTTTCTGTATCAGTAATGGTGAGTGCATAAATTCCAGTGCGGACATAAAACAGCAACATTTTTGTTTTTGGTTTTGCCTCTGCTGTGTGGTTTAATCCTTCCTGCATAAATTTCTTAGGATCACTTGTAAGCCTTCCAAACTGATATTCTGCATCTCGTATGCTGTACACTTGATGCACAAGAGGCAGGGAAATAGGGACAAACAGAGATCGGGGATATGAGGGAGAGGGAAAGAAATTTAGGGTGAAAGAGAGGAAATTCAGGGAAAATAAGAAGAAGAGAGATTGAACCAATGGGAGAAATATTTACTCGCAAAAATATAAATATTTAACTCCTAATGCTCCATGACCAAAAACTATTTGGGAAACAGATATTTCTAGTGGGAAAACATAGATACTTTTCTTTATAGCTGTCCCTTTTTGTTTACTGTTTCCATCTCTCACCTATGCTAACTATGTTACTCTTGACCCCGGTGGAAGTATCAGATATAGGCATTTGCTGATAGGAAATGTTTAATTTTTTAAAGTTTTCTATGTATTTTGAGGTTTCTTGGAGAACCGAATCCCCATTCTCATGTCTAGATATGCTACAGACACTAGTTTGGGGAATATATACTTAAAGAAAAATGAACAGTCGGAGCCACAAAGTGTTCTAGTGCTAGATTTCTGAAGTTAGCTAAAGTTCTCTGTGCTTGAAATTTCCTTTTTTTTTCTCGTTTTCTTCTTCTTGCCATGTTTGGAATATGTAGGCATGAGCTATGGCCAGTCATATTTGATTCATGAGCTAGCTTCTGATGCCAAGGTGCATTTGGGTCCCAATAAAGGAAGATTAAAACACAATAATTTGAGGCCTTCCAATTTTGCATAACATTTTGTTGGGGGGGGGGGGGGGGTTATTTTTAAAATTTTGCATTTTTTGCACTGACAGTGCTTATGCGAAGTGTTATTCTTATTCTCCATCTCACATGCCTAGATATTGACTGCCTTTCTGTTTTTACTTTTTGTGCTATAAACATGCCATATTTTCAATTATGATTTGATCCTTCTAGCATTTTAGTTATCATATTATTTAAGCTTGTTACACGGTGTCTTAGAATTCAGGGAGTGACCTCTCATCTATCCATATTATTTAAGCTTTTTGATGATAGAGATGCTATAGGATTGTATATGTTCTTAGTTCTTCTTAGTAGAATATCCACATTGGTGATCGAATCCGAACCCTATTTATATCCGCATCTGGTTTTCAAGTCATAATGTTAATTATAGTCCGTTGCAAATAGAAGCTAATGGAATCCGGTCTGGTTTTCTTTTTTTTCTCCTCAAGTTATTTTGGTGTTTATAGTTGCTTTTTCGCGATCTTCGGTTTCTTAGGATTTGGGAAGTAGTGTTCGAGCTAATCCATTTTACATAAACTATTGGTTGAGAGAGATACTTAAGATTTTATAGACGAGTGAAAGCTATATTATTCGGACTTAGGTGGGGGTGAGTGTCGGATAAAAGGGATGTTGTCCGGAAATGCTTTGAGCACAAGTTTTGGACTACGATATTTGTAGAAGAATAGGGGTGTTCATTCGCTTAAAACGGTGGCTGACCGAATCGAATTATCATTAACCAAATTAATCAAACTTTTTTTTAATCGTTAACCGAACCGAACTTTTTTTGAAAACATTAATCGAACCTAATAAATTTCGGTTAATTCGGTTAATTTTCTAATTAACCGAATTTTTTTATATTTTTCTAATTTATATAAAAATTGAATATTTTTTAATTTAAAAAAACAGTTTACAATTAATTTAAATAATATATAATTATAAAATAAAAATTTTATATGAAATTTTTAATTAATTAATATTGATTTAGGTTTAAAATTTATTGGATCTTAAATTATTAATTGTGTTTTAAATGGTTTGGGCTGAGCCCATATGTTATATATAATATATTTAATATTTAAAATTTAATTATGTTAATTAATTGATTTCGAACCAAATTAATCGTTAACCGAATTTTAAAAAAATTATTAACCGTTCTCCGACCAAACTCATTCGGTGGCCAACCGAATTAACCGAACTAATTCGGTTCGGTTGGTTAATACTTTAAAACCTAAAAATGAACACACCTATAGAAGAATGCAGTCTGAGGCTCGGAGCAATATAAAGCAAAATTCTGAAGTACAATCGAGGGACTAGGAATCATTTTGCGTCATGATTCTTCTGATAATGTAACTGATGATTCTACGTGACAGAATATTGTTCTTTAGTAATGCAATTTGAAGTGTTCTTGCATTCCAGGATTCTTATTTATTTCATCATAGTTTGTGTTTAGAGCTTTTCATGTATTTTCGTCAGTTGGATTGCCTATAGCATCTTAATCCGTATGCGACTAATAAAAATGTTGAATTGGCAGGTGCACAGTTTGCCTTTCAGAATACAGTTGGGAAGACACCTTGCGAATCCTCCCCTACTGCGGGCACTCCTTCCATGTAACATGCATCGATATATGGCTACAACAGCATTCCACATGCCCTGTTTGCCGAGTATCACTACGCGAATTTCCCGATAAGAAACGGTCGATGCAACCATTGTTCAGTTCTGCCATTCGATCGCATTTCGCCAGAGAGTCTTTCGACACACACGCTTACAACTGTTTGTTGAGGGGGCAGGGTTTTCCATTGAGAACCCACAACAACCCTGCAATGGAACCGATTCAAGGGAACTCTTATGTAAGCGTGGGGAGAAATGGAAACCCAGAAACAGGGGAAAACATGTCCCGTACGATTGAAGATGATGAAAACGCCATTAAAGAGTCGATAAAGAAGCTTGTGGAATGCCCTTCAAACCCTTGAATTATCCTTGTTAGTTGATTGTAAAGGTCTCCTGGTTGTGAAGTGGATTAGTTTCCTTTGTTATTTTTTTGGTGTATTCTTGTAAATATGTTTGGCTCTGGTTTTGGCAGTTTTGTCGACTCAGTTGCGAAACTAGCATTAAATCTAAGTTATTTTTACTACATGACCAATTTAATTTTGATTGGATGAAACTGAAAAGTTTTAAAATTTTAAAAATAACAATTAAGTTATCTGCAAACAATTAGAAATGACTTTCATCACTCAATTCACCCCCTTCAATTCACCCATCAATTCTACTTCTTTTACTATTCCATCAATTTTCTCCCACTTCTTCCATAAGGCTCTCAATCGCCTCTTCGATTATGGATTGTCTTTGCAAACAATCAGAAATGACTTTTTTAAACTCCGCTAACTCAGGCATCAAAATGTCAAATTTATTTGCATTTCCTTCACCATAATCCCCTTCAACATTCTCTTCTTCCTCTTTACCAATAACCTTCAAAAATAAATTACAATATTAAAACAATTTTTTAAATCCTTAATATTATATAATTACTTTTATTACCATTTTTTTCTTTCTTGGTCTTTTTAACTTTAACTTTGTCATCACTCGAACAACTTCTTCCTTGAATCCGAGTTAAAGTTTGAGCTTCGACCGAGTTAAGTTTAAGATTTTTTTATTTCAATTTTTTTGAGCTTCAATTCATGGTTTCGAGTCTGAGTCGAGTTCAGCAATACTCGAACTCGACTCGACTTGTTTACGGACTTAGCTATAAGCCTATCACTGCCATTTCAATCCTCTTGTAACAACAATTCAATTGTTTTGGGTTGCATGATGTTCCTATCTCCAAAAGAAAAACCCCATGCCAACTTTGTCAATGCGTTTGCTACCTTGTTTCCTTCACGACGGACATAAAAAAAAATTATAGGTTCCAATCTCTTTCGATCATATTAATGATATTTGGTGCTATGAGATGAGAGATTCACGAGCCATGTTAGATCCTTGTCTTAGTAAGCGAAAGACCTCTTTGCATTCTGTTTCAACGTAGAGGTGACGTAAATTCATGTTTCATACAAATTTTATTCCCTCATAAACTCCCTAGAGCTCCACATCGACTATCGAATAATTACATTTTTATGTTAGTTTTTGTTATTTTTATTACATCATAATATTAACGCATTAATAACTTAATATATATTATAATTTCATTACATAAATGAAATATATATATATATATATATATATTCCTTTTTATTTATTTTTATTTTATCAATTAAAACTTTCATTTATTTTTATTTCCCATTTGGTTTATGTATTTCTTGTAGTTTTTTTCCAATAAAATTTTATTTAGAAAATAGACACGGTACAACAAAAGCCCAAAAAAGCTAGAAAATAAATCAATGGATCTAGTAAGCCCAAGCCCAAGCCCAATGCCGACAAACCCTGGATATCATTTTTTTTTAATCTAAAGTTGGTATGGTGTAGTTACATTAGACCTTGACTATTTTATATAGTAACAAGACATAAGCTTTCTGTGCATATATTTTTGGTATAGAGACCAGACGCTTAAGGGATTAGTTTAAGCTGTTTCATATACATGATTTCTAATAATACAATATTTAAGAGAAGAGACAGATAGCTAGCTTTGTTGATTCTTTCCCTTACTCATCATCTTCAATCCATATCTGTACCATTGATCTCCTTGGTTTACTGCAGAAAAATGAAATGAATTGACGCCATAAGAACTCGACGGTGACGATGATGAATCCATCTGTTTCGCACTGTAAACGCTCTTATTTTCTTCACCATCAGTGGAGTCCAGCTGCTGAAAATAATCCTCTTTATGCTTCTTGTAACACTCGGCGTTGTTTGCTTCACGTTCATACCCCAAACTCACCATTTTCGCTTCTATTTCTGACCACATGTTTTGCTTCGAATACCCATTATTTTCCTGAAATATTCTTCGTCCCAAGGTTGAGATTTCATGCTCATTCCATATGTTTGTGTTGATCTAATTCTGGGTTTTACTTAACTTTCTCATGGCCGCCACTTCTGCAGAATCTCGAACTTCAATCCAAGCTCTTTCCTTAACCCGGAGCTCGTGTTCTTTGTCGAAACGAGCAGCCTCTCGTCTCCTCCATTCCTGCTCTTTCGACTCTCTTCCTTGCTCTTTATCTTCAACGACCTTCAACATTCTCTCAATCCAAACGTCTTGTGAATCTATCAACTTCTTCATTTGCGAATCCACAAACTCCTTCACGTTCTTCGTCTTCCACCCCTTCTTAACCCTCTTTTGATTCTCCATGAAAGCAAAAGCCGAAAGTTCGTCATCGTCTTCGTCTTCGATGTTTCCCGATGACGAATCGTCGAATTCAAATAAACCGAGGCTCTCACTTATCTTTCGTTCCTGCATGGATTCTTCTCGAGTTTCCTGCTGAGGGTTGCTCAGGACATTAATGTTGGTTTCTGGGACTGAACTTTGAGGATTGCTTGTTTCACCACAAATGGCTTCGAGCTGTTTAAAGAACCTGTAATTTTTCCCATCTCCAGCTTTACGTTCTTTAGTCTTCTTATAGTATTTGTGAAGGTTTTCAAACTTCTCTGTACATTTCTTCCCAATTCTCAGGTACCCATATTCCTCCGCCATTATTTTGTACCATGATAAAATATATAACAAAGTTAAACATAAAATATTAAATTAAAAAAGGATTAAAAGATTATTCCAAAGCATTCCTTTCTAATATACTTAATTAAATATTATTTTAAGTTTTTGTTTTGTGAGAGTAAAGGAATGCCAGTAGTTCACTACTTCCGCAAAACAAGAAGAAAATTTTCATTTCCATTTTTACAGAAGAAAGAACATCTTCCTCTCTGTGTTAACTCACAGCTCTGTTGCTTTCAATCAGAAACTTAATAAATACCCATCTGAAAGGAAGGAAAAAAAATCATTTGATTGAAAGCTTTTGTAGGACTTTCCGTATAAGTAGAAAGACAAACTGGTTTCACTCTGCAAACCATATATCATAAAACTGAAACAAGAAGAAGAAGAAGAAGAAGATTGAAGTCAGTTTAGTGCAATGATGATATATATATATATACATAGATATACCTAGATACTTCGTCCCACAAGGGTCCTTTCTGGTTAGCCTCTTTGAACTTGGAATCAAGTCTAGATCTGATCTCAAGAAGAGTAAGGGTTTCTTGCTCGGCCACCGACTGTTTCCGCCGTCGAAACTTCCCATACTCCATCCACCACCAGAAGAAGCTGAAGCAGTAAAAGCAGTGGTGGAGCTGGTGCTAAACCTAAGCAAACCACTAGGCATTGCAATCCCATTGCTGAGCATGTAGTCTGCGTCATTGTAAGGAGCCACTGGAGTCATGTTCCCATGAGCGAGGTATGGTTCAGAAGGCAGCGGCAGGGATGCCGGAAGATGGGTTCTCCTTGTTAAAAGCCGCCGGAGATCAGGCAGGCCGTACTGATCACCCATTTCCATCAGTTTTTTCCCTTGAAGAGTGAAATAACAACAACAGACTGAATAGAGAGGGAGAGTCAAAATGTTTGATTGTGTTAGGACTTTGTATGGATCCGAGTCTATCGCAACTTTCATCACTAAAATTATGTTTACCTTCTCTCTCTATCTCTCTCTCACTCTCTCTCTGAGTAAACTGAAATACAAAAAGGTTAACGTAATTAAGAGCCAATGAAGCTTTGAAAATTATCGGAGAATTACGAGAATTACACGAGGATATGGACATACAAAATACCTCTCTCTCTCTCTCTCTCTCTCTGAGTAAACTGAAATACAAAAAGGTTAACGTAATTAAGAGCCAATGAAGCTTTGAAAATTATCGGAGAATTACGAGAATTACACGAGGATATGGACATACAAAATACCTCTTCATTGAACAAATATATATGACCGTTTCTTAACAACTTAAGTCGGCAAAACTCTCGAGATAATGTTCTCGAGTTTTTTATTTCACGATATAACGTACTCCCAAGATTCATTGCTCAAATAGGGCGAATTGTCGAGTTTTTTATTTCACGATATAACGTACTCCCAAGATTAATTGCTTAAATAGGACGAATTGTACAGTGTTGGCCGTAGGTCGCCATGCCTTCCGAGCGACCTACGGCGTGACAGCTTCCCAACGAGTGAATTAACGTCGAATTAACGTGTGCATGGGACATGCATAACCCAACCCATAGGTCGTCATGCCCTCCGCGCGACCTTGTAGGTCGCCATGCACACCAGGCGAGATGGTAGGTCGCCATGCACGCCCCGCGGCCTTGTCGTGCGCCCTGCTCCCCGCTGCATGCTCGCCTGCTCCCGCTGCTCCATGCACCTTTATTCGCTGCATTATTGCAGCATAATTTTCGCTGCTTCATGCAACAATTATTACTGCAATCCACGAGAATCAACGGCTCGTGATTCTTCAATTATTGGTGCATGGCAGCCGGCCCTTTAATATATAGGGGGTATGATATGAGGTTAAGGAAGCATAAGAAAGAAAGGGAGAAAAGTGTCGAGAGAAAGGAAAGGAATAAGAGAAAGAAGAAGAAAGGGAGTCTGGCAAGCAAACATCGAGGTAAATTTTCATTTTATTTAATTTAAATTAGTTTATTATTTTAAATTATTAGTTTGTTAGTTTAAGGTTAGGGTAAAAAATTTACTTAATTAGTTAGTTTGTTAGTAGTTAGTTATATATAAAAAAATATGTAATTAGTTTGTGTTAGTTAAATAGTTAAGTTGCCATATGATTTGTTGAATTTATATTATATAAAAAATTTAGTTAATTAGTTTTTCAGTAGTGAATTATAATTAAAAAATCGTTTATTAGTTTTAAGTTATATTAAAGAATAGTTTATTAGGTTTGTTAGTAGTTAGTTATATAAAAAAATATGTAATTAGTTTGTGTTAGTTAAATAGTTAAGTTGCCATATGATTTGTTGAATTTATTATATAAAATTTAGTTAATTAGTTTTTTCAGTAGTGAATTATAATTAAAAATCGTTTTTAGTTTAAGTTATATAAAGAATAGTTTATTAGTTGAAGTTATATTAAAGAAAGTTTATTAGTTGTT